ATATATATAATTTCTTCCTCTACCTAGCTCCATATTTTTCCCTCAAAGTTGGATTAAATAATTTAACAGAAGATGAATCGAGAAATTAAGCTATTAAACAATATTATGATCATGGTAATCTTTTTGGAATTAATATGTAGAAATTATGAAATGAATCTTAAATTTATAGCTAAAAATATAAATAATTTTATTATTATATCAATTATTATTAAAAATACAAATAATTCTATTATTAGACCACATAACTGATGATATAATCATTTATAGTAATTGTTATTCGTTATAAAACGTTTGGAGTGCAGCTTGTTCTGTTGAAAAGTCAAGATATCATGGTGTATAAATCCTGAACAAATAGAGTATTGTAAATGAGGCTGCTTAAAGAGAAATCAAGTTATATGTACGTACATTTTTTTAATCTCTGAATTTCAAATTTCCCATAGGTGACGAATTCAAAGTTTCAAACACGACATCATGATGAGAGCACGGAAGCACGATTCAGACTTGGCATGAATTAAGAAAATCGAGTGCAATACAAAACAAATTAATCCATGTCTAAATTTAAGGATTACCTGTGTTAAACAAATTGATTAGTGATGAGATCTTGTTAATATATGTCATTTTAAAAAGACATGATTCTCCGACTTTGATAATGACCCCAGTAACAGTATTATTCAAAATTGATAGATCATAACTGTTAAAATTAAATAAGAGAGTTTTATAGCAATGATTTATTGATCTGATTAGAAAAATTCAGCTATCTTTAAATAAAAATTTGAATTTAAATCTTTTGAATGAAAAAACAAGTATTGAAAAAGTTTTTCTACGAATCTAATATGACTTGATTCTAAATTAATTAATATCTAATGTAAATTTCAAAGACTAAAAAGTTAGTAAAAAAAATTTTATATTTTTTAATCTAAATTAAATAATGATAAATGAGATTAAAATTTGATATCAAACTCTAAAACCAATAACATTACTATGCCACATCATTGGTTTTAAATTTTTATCACAAATTTTTATCCTTCTTATCTTTTTATCATTACACGTCTAAATTATATTTTAAA